ACAAAATAAAAATTTACATCGAATTCTTTAAAATATATAAGATGTTAATTATTTTAAACAAACTTATTTGAAAACACAAAATAAAGAAATCATATCAGATATCTACACAAATCAAATTCAATTATTTTCATAATTGACGATGTTAAGTAATTTTTAGGTTTTTCTTTCATAATTTTTAGGAATTGAGACAATTACGAGTATGTCTTCCTGTATGAAATGTCAAATAGTTTAAGATTCAAAACAAAGAATTTTTCATTCCTACATACTATTTGAAAGGAGGAAAGTCATTTATCTGTCGGTAGGAAGAATTTGAGAGTATAGGTGAGATTTTGTTTATTTTTCGGTTTTTTGAGAGTCACAGTATTTTTATAGCATTCCTAAAAAAATTTGCGAATAAAATTCATAATTCAAGATAGATTGAATAATGAACCTATTTGACTCATATCATATATTAAGAGCTGGACTGACAACTGTTCAAATGAAAGACTCACATTTTTAATATTTTGTCTGACTAAGATGTAATCGTTTAACATATTTTGAAAATTGCTGGATTTCCAAAAATTTTGCACTCATTTCTATTCTTCGTTAGCATATAATATACAGAGTATTATTTGTTACGTTTGGTCTGATTTTTTTAATACGATTACTTTCTTTCCAGTAATGTTTTTTAATAACTTTTCATATAACTAAAGCTATTATGGAGAAATGGCCATAATTTTTCTACGGCCACTTAAAAATTACAAATTTGCATTATACAGTTAGTTAATAAATTGAACTTATTTTCAATTTACAATTCAAATATTTTCTAATGTCATGGTATTAAAGTCTATTAAATGTATGTGCATTCGAGAATACTCAAGGAATAAGATATTTTGAGTAAATCAGTTTTTAAGATCTTCTTCTTCTTAATTGTATTTTATTTGTAATGAAGGTTTCTAGTTTAAATCCAGTTGATTTGTGATCTTTATTTCAAAAATTCATTTGTATTTTTTATACCTATTCCGTATTTCATTACGAACCTTATTAGGAGGCATTATTGAACTTCATCATTATTATTTTGTAATTGAATTGATCTTGATTGAAATTTAGATCGAATAATTAAGTTAAATAACAATTTTAATTTTATATTGATATGTTGAATTCAATTGAAAAGTAAAATTAAAAAAATAATTACAAAATAATAAGAATTTAATTGGAATAAAATGAGAAAATGGTAACTGAAAATTAAAAAAAAAAACATAAAAATAAAGTGTAATATTTGAAAATGAAAACAAAAACAGAATTAATTAATTTTTTTTTCTAAATTATATAAAATATACTTTTATTTAACATATAAATTTTAATTAATATTTTTTTTTTCTTAGTATATAGAATACAAAATTAATTATACATTTATTTTTTTCATATTTACCTACTAATATTTATTAAAATTACATGTAATTATAAATTATTTATTATATATTTTTTTTTTATTTAAAATCACAATTTGATTTTCGTATATTTAACATTATTGTTATGTTTTATTTGAATTATTTTTTTCGTTTTTTTAATTAAATTTTTTAATTTATTTTTTTTTTAATTTTCGTTTTTTATATTAAATGTTTTTAATAATAATTAATTAATAATGATAAATTTATATATTAATTTTATATGTAAATTCTATTCATTTTTTTTTGTTGTTTTAACATACATTTTCCATATGATTTTTCAATTATGATATTTTTATTTATAAAAGAGAATTATTAAATACTTTAATTTTAATTTATTTTTTAAAGTTTTTGTGAATCTATATTTATTTTTTTTACAATTGTTTTTCTATTAATTTTCGTTTCTGTTAATTTTGAAAGTTTTTAATTATAAAAAAATTAGCAAATCATTCTTTTTTATAAAAAATAAAACAATAATTAATTTTAGAAATGGATTAAATTATATTAACAAAAATAAATAAAATTTTATTTAAAAAATATAAAAAAATGTAAAGAATTATAGTTTTTTAAAGAATTGAGAGATAAAATTAATATTATTTTTTTACTTTCATTCTTTGTATAATTTTCGGTCGTTTATTTTCAATATGGATTACAAAATAAAATGAATTAATTTTAAAATTAGTTAATGAACTGAAAATATTTACTCTCTTTATTAATTTGTGAAAACATTAGAAATTGATAGAAGATTTCAATAAATACATGTTGGTTGAAATTTTTGGTTTTTAATGATTAAACCTTTTTTTAAATTCAATAGCCATGCAATTATTGAATGGTATAAAATGTTTTCTTTCTAGCCGTAGTTTAATATTTTTTTTTTCAAAATATTGAGAAAACCATTCCATAATTTAATTGTGACGTACAATGAAGAAAAGATTTATATGGTATTGCAGCTTTTTTCAGTGTCAATAAAGGGTAATTTTACTTTGAAGAATTACTGAGCAATATATTTGAATGGTGAGATTTTAAAATTAATGTAAAAATAAATAATAATTAAATTATGTTTTATGATTTCCAAATAATTTTAATTTAGATAATAAATTCATTTTATTTTGAAACGTTTGGCGTACATAAATAACTATAAATTAATTATATTATTTTTTGATATTTTACAGAATTGTAATAGAATTAACGATTAATATAAAATAAAAATTTAAATGATAAAAATAAAAACATAATTTTTACTTTTATATTATCATAATTATATAAATGTATGTATCATATTTTTATAATTAATTTCATATTTTTTTTTATAATTTACATTGACTTAATAATTATTAATAAAAATAAAAATTATTATCTTATACAATATTTAAATTATTTATTAATAATATTTTTATTTACAATATGTGCGAAAATTTTAAAAGTTTTTCTTTATGTATCTCCAATTTATATAATATTTATTATATAATTTGTTCTTTTTTTGTAATTTTATGTTTTGGCTATATTAATAAACATATCTTGAATTACATACATATAATGTCAAAATTGAGTTTTCATATACAAGAGTTGCCGTTTTAACAAAAAATTTTGTCTTGATTTTTTCTATAGTTACAATAGAATTTTACCTTTTTTTATTTATGTTTAATTTTTATGATGATAATGAAAGTTAAAAAAATTTTTTTTTGTCTTCTCTTATTTAATATTTATAAATTTTTAATTCATTTATTTATTTTTTTTATTATTATAAAGATTTATCATTTTTGATGGCAGTGAATAACCTGCTATAACATGATTTCTTTGTTTTATTTCATTTAATAATTTATAAATGATCTTATATTTAATAATTCGATGACGTTTATGTGTATGTGTGTGTGTGTATTTATCGTAAAAATGTGTGTAAATGTTTAATATATGGCAAATTATATAATGTATTATAATCTTTTTAAATTTCTTCAGTCAAGAAAAACTTTAGTATTTTTGTTTTCAATTTGTTTTTGTTTCTCTCATATGCTTTAATTTACAATTCGAATATTATGTAATATAATTTCTCTTTAATAATTAATAAATTATTTTAAAGTTTATCTTTGTAATTTTTTTTGTTTTTTTTTATATAATTATTATATATAATTAAAAAATAAAAAGTTGCTCATTTATGTTTATGGTGCTACCGTTGGTGTGTTTCTTTCCACTTTATTTAAATTTAAAACCTTTAAAATTTTTAACAAAAAAAAAGTTTTTTTTTTTTATAATTTTCTTTCAGTCAATTTTTATATAATTTTTAATAAGTATTTATGTGTACATTTATAAATATATTGTATTAAAATAATTAATTTACAGATTATTATGAAACAAATTTTTTATTATGTTTTAAAAAGCTTTAAATAATTAAAAAATATTTTTTTCTACTAAATTTTAATATTCTTAATTATTCTTTTTTTTTGCTTTCTTTAATATAATAAATATATATGTAAGGTTTTATTTTGTGTTATGGCTGGTTTTTGTATTTTGAATAGTAGGAAAATACAAAAAGTTACACGTCTGTTTAAAGCTTAGTGCTCCTGCCTGCATAAGTAAGTTTATTTTGGAATGAAATTATATCCAAATAGAGTATTTATAAAATTATTATTACTTCCGCGATTTAAAAAATTAGTATTTTAGTGAATGTTGTGAATTAAAATAAATGCAATAATTGTTATTATTATAATTTTGTATATTAATAATGTTTGTTTAATAAATATTCAGGGAAATAAGAACAGTGTCCAGGTAGTGCGATACTTTCTACAATTATTTATATCACATATTATTAGAAAGTTCATCAATATATTGATAAACTTGCGATTGATAGCCTTTATATCATGTTATCCTGATGGTAAAATAAACTTATGAAGAAAAAAATAGAAGCTCAAATAACCTGTAAACATTTGGGCACTATGTAATAAAATGTTTCTGTAAAAATAATATTTTTAAAATTTAAAAATTTTAAAAATATTATTTTTAACAATTACTTTGAACAGGCATAAACAGCTCTCTTGGATAATAAAACTTTTAGGTTTTAGTTTGCGTGCGTGATAGACTTTAAGTTTCCATGTTTCTTATTTAACCAATAATTATAAGTATAAATGCATAACTTTTGATTTTAATTTGATGTAATATTAATAATTAGGAATATATTGTGAAGGAGCTTATTCAAATTAAAAAAATTAACTATTAATGCATATTCAAGTTTACCATTTTTTTAAAACATTTTTAGTTTTTTTTTTTATTTAATGGACTAGAAGAGAGCTTGGCGATTAAAAAAAATTTACCTTATATTGCTTGTTTTTTTTTAATAAAAAATTATTTTGTATTATTAAATTTACATGTTGTTATTATTGTAGGTAATAATTTATTTCTTATTTTTTTAATTTATCGGAATTAGGTAAATTCATACGCTTCGACTACAAGAATTTGCTTAAAAAGGAAAAAAATATTTTTTTCTCATTCTTAAAAATTAAATTAACTCTTAATATAGACTGAAATTTTTTGTAATAAAAGAAAAATTGAATATTTATGTTTATTTAGAGTTGACTGAAATTACTTGTTGATACCCAGTGGGCCGTATCTGGCCGAACTGTTAACTATATAGGACCATAATCACTTAAAGCTTGCCCGTGTTGCGGTCCTGGTAGTGTTACTACAACAGAAACGGCACGTGGATCAACAACAGAACCTGGTGTACCATGTGGTCCATTTCCTGGTGTACCAGTTACACTACCAACACTTGCTGATCCGCCAAGAGCACCGCTACTAGTTAAATGACTCCCATGAAGAACACCACCAGGATGACCAACTGTACTACTACTTATGCCAGTACCCATGATACTACCACCACCACCAACTGGAACGCCGCTACCGCCTAATGTACTACCACCTCCTAATGTACTTGAATTACCCCCACCCATTGGTAGACCTGTTGTTGATGCGGCGCCAGACTCTCCAGGTCATACATGACTAGCTGGCGGTTGTTTCAACACATGGTGATGTAAATGATGATGTGATGTTGAGGCAACACTGCCCCCAGCTTGTGTGTATGGTGTTGCTAACAACGATGCAGCTGCCGAACCAGGTACTCCCATTCCTGATCCAGCATATGGGTGTGGTATTGGAGGTCTTTGTTTGATTAATGCTTGATTGGCACCTGTACGGTCAGGTACCCCACACAATCTCCTCCAGAATCTTCTCCAAGATTCCAATGTTTTACCAGACCAAATCCATACACCTGAAGTGATGCCAACAGCAAGCGCCATAAAATATTTAAGCATTAATACTGAGTATAAAGGTTTTTGTCTATGTCCAGTTGCGGTGGAACATGGACAAGCCAAGGATTGTATCCAATCTTCAAAATATGCTGCCTCATACAAATAGCAGGCGATTACAATTGTTGCTGGGACAGTATATAGGACGGAGAAAATACCAATTCGAATCATTAATTTTTCTAATTTATCAGCTTTTGCACCAGCTCCAATACCACCTTGTTGTTTAATTACAGACCGTATTCGAAATAGAGACACAAATCCTGCCATTAAGAATGTTGTGCCGATAACAAGATACACGAAAAGTGGCGCCAAAACAAATGTTTTTAAATTGTCAACGTTCATATTCCCAACGTAGCAAATGCCAAGAATGGGATCACCATCCACCGCCGATAACAGTAAAACTGCTACGCTTTGTATAGTTGGAATTAACCACGCAGCTAAATGGAAATATTGTGAATGTTTAGTTATCGCCTCATTACCCCACTTTAAACCAGCTGCTAAGAACCATGTGAAAGACAGGACAACCCACCAAATAGATGAAGCCATTCCAAAGAAATATACTAATAAGAACACCAACGTACAGGAACTTGGTCCTGTAGATGATTGTTTTATAACTCTACCATCACAAGCAATTTCATCATTTCCCATAAATGTTTTCGATAAATAACCAATTGCTACCATAAAATAACATGCTGACAAGAAAACTATTGGCCGCTCAGGGTATTTGAACCTTTCCGTGTCTATGATGAATGTGGTCAGTGTCATTAGGGTGCTGATGAAGCACAGGCCCGACCACAGTGCTATCCATATGTTTGCGAACTCCTTTTCTTCGCTTGTGAAGAACGGGCCCTTGCATGGGATCCCGCAATTTGGTACGCCGGCGACCTTTCCTACTGTTGTGTTGTACCAAAGGTTTTCCTTCCCCAGGAGCACTAGTGGTGCTCGACAGGTACACGCGCATTCCTTTGTTGTTTTTTCGCTTCCTGGGGTGTTTTGACAGTTTTTTGAATTTTTACCTTTACATTTTTGTGATGAGGGTTTCTTTGTCGCCTTGGATGAACTACCACCACTGCCGCCCATACTACCTCGGCCACTTTCAGAATGACTTCCACCGCCACCTTCATCAGTATAACTAGGTTGTTCCATACATAAATTTTCTGGATCACCATGTAATGGTAAATTTTCGCAAGCCATTCTTTCCGGCCATTGAAAGCTATATTGTTGCATAATCGGTGCGCATCCAGCTCGTGCACGTTCACAAACTGATCTGCATACTGGTAACGGTTTATGGTAATCTTCTAAACAAATTGGTGTATACATTGAGCATAAGAAGAATTTTAAATCTGGTGAACATTTTATTTCAACTAATGGCCAAAATTGATGAACCTCCAGGCCTGCTTCTTCTTGTGTTTCATGATTCATTTCATTTGGAAATGATGTTAAATTATAACCAATGCCCCGGCACATTGGTGTTGTTATTACTTCACACTTTGAATTTTCGCTTGGCATTATTGGTACGCCAAGTGCTGGTGATGGTGTTCCACCTGAGTGCATTATATCTGAATGCATACCACCTGAACTTGAATGCATTATACCACTCCCAATGCTTCCTCCATTTGTACCACCTAGATGAACATCGTCATCGCTAACATGTTGTACACTATCAGCAGATATATTTGATATTAATAATGTTAGAATCAATAAAAACTGGTGTCGTAGCTTTCTTAGATCCGCCATCTTTTTTGTATGTAAACCAAAAGAAGATGGCAGTTCAAATGAATTGTGCTAAATTAATTTCGGAGTATTTATTCCAAAAACACGAAATAAAATTAGTGTTCTTCTTTTTTGTTATTTGTTGAAGTTTTTCTCCCCAAATTTTAACAGTATCTTAATACTACAGTTGAAAGTTGATTTAATAATTTCATTTAAGACTTTTTCATTTTATATTTTGCCATTAATTACAAAAATACTAGTCAAATCTTTTCATGTGTTAAAGAATCCATCTGAAACGAAAAGTAAATAAAAAAATAAAAATAATATTGTGAAAATTATAAAAAAATTAAATTTATTTAGTTTATAATATTAGGTGTTAGTAAATGGTTTACAAGTACATCAAAACAGGATAGAAACTATTATGAGTAATAAAACAATGCGAACTTTAATAGTTTCAAATCGTAACGGAATTGATTATAAGAATTGCTGAAAATCTTTAATCATTAAAAAACGGTGTAGTATGAGAATCAAAAACCGAAAGAGAAATTAAAAGAAAGAAAAACTACTTCCTGCTTTATTACATTCAGTTATAATTTAATATGGTGATGGGTTCAAGTAGTATGATGGCAGGCGTCAGTGATGCCCTTTTTCATACTGTTTTAACACTTAATTTAATTTAAAATTTCTAACTGAACACTTATCGTTACGTGAAAAATGACTAAAATAATTTATGCATCTCTCAATCATCATTTAACAAATAAATCTCAATAGCAATAAAAAAAATCTTCAATTCTGCATTTTTTCGTTTTTCATAATCAAAATTGTATTGTTTTATTTTGTTTATTTTTTTACATTTTTGACACTTAAATTAAATTCGATTTAAAAATAAATTTTGCTCACCCCTTTTTCATTTAAATTTTCAACCCGATCACATAAACCTAAAAGTTATTCTATTATTCTTATTTTGTTTTTGCTTTTTAGCATATCTTGTTACGCATACTATTTGTACATTTTTTAAAACAATTTTTTAAATCTTTTGAAATAAGATTTTTTTTTTAATTTTTTGTTATAAGTGGAAGACACTTGAAACAATTCATATCGTCACCATTTAGTTCTGATGATTTTAACAATAATGACTTAAAATAAATGCAAAATAAACATAGAAATACCAACTTAACAAAAATTTAAGATGTCCATCTTCATCAACGCATCAATTGACGTTAATGCCTTCATATTTTGTTACTTTATAGGTTTTTTGCTTTTTTTCGTATTTTTATTGTTGCTTGTTGATTACAAGTCGTGCATTACTCAATATAACAATTTCATAAATTAAGAACAAATCAGGAAAAAAACAAAATATGAATAATTTCTCAAATTAAAAGTAAAAGAAAAAACAAAATGTCAAAATGAATTATATGCGTTACGATACTTAAAAATATGCAAGCTATAAGAATGTAAATAAGTCAATATAACTGTACTATTCATATTATGATAATACTGTAATTTAAATTTTAAATGACACGATCTTTTTCACCATTTAATTATTTTTAATTTACCGATTGAAATGAATAACGTTAAACGTAAAATAAAAGTTGAAATGTCAAATTGAATTAAATCAAAGTCGTAATAGTTTTTCTCTTTTACTCTCTCTATGCTTTTCTTCTCTTCATTATTTAAAATATAAGTATGTACATCGTCAAATATTTTATCATTAAAATACGTACATTCATACATATATCAATTCAATCAAAGTATTAAATAACGAGTGTTTTATGAATCAAAACAAATAATTTTGTTCTTAGATTTTTTCTTTCTGTTTTGGTTAAGAAATAATGATAAAATACATATTCAAAAATTCTCATCAAATTGAAAAATAAAAATAAATCAAAATTGATGAGACAATTTTATGAAGTTTTTTAATTTAATTGTTTTTTTTTATTTTTCGGGAGCTCATAGGTCCACTCCATTTTCAGTTCAAATTAATAATAAATATCAAGATAAGAAGTGTTATATAAAAGACAACAACAGAAATAATGTAGAAATGAGGCCAAAAGGTATTTGTATCGTGAGTATTACGAAATTTCTGACATTTTAAAATTTATAAATTTTAAATTGTACCCATTTGTACATTTAAAATTATTTAAGAACTTTTTAAGTTCAATTAAATTTAATATTTGGATGATATTTTTTTTTAAATGAGAAATGAATCGGTAAACTGCAACAGGATTTTAATTGGAGATTTCTTCAGAAATCACATGCATTTTATTTTGTATAACGTACGAATGCAATTAGTATTTTTGCATCTGTATATTTGGTTTTTGAAATTAATTTAAAGTACGCGGTGCGTTATATTTAAATCAATTTAAAGGTGTATGTACATGTATCAATTGTCTTTCAATAAAAATTATTCGCTGCAAATTTTATGAAATCTTAATACATATGAATATAAACAAGAAATTGACGTTATGTTTAACAGCTACGAAAGTTTTTAAAAATTGCATTCATTACAATTAGACAATATGCTTTAACTTTTAACATAGTTTCTTTTTTGTAGTCTCCCTTAAACAAGCTAATAGAAATTTTTTTAAAATGTTTTAAAAAATTATAAACGATTTTAAAAAAAATACGAACTTCTTTTATTGATTCAGTTAAGTAATTTGCAACAGAAATGCATGATCAGAAAACGAAAGAACAATTGATTTCAGTATATTTTTATATTTTTTTATGTTATTTTAAGAAACGAGTATCAATTATTATGAATGTCAATCACAGAGTAATCGATTCATAACGACGAATAAAGTCAATTCATTATTTTATATTTAATGACTTCAGATAATCAAAAAACAAAATAAGGAATGGAAAAAAAAACATTAAAAATTTATATGTCTGTATGTTCAACTCACTTCAATCCTTTGACTGTTTCTTTTACTCTTATTAAAAGTAGAGAAAAAAATTCCTTTTATTTTTTTAATATTTAGCTTTTTTTTTGTTTTTATATATTTTCATACCCATGTCGGATTTAAGTGCTTAGTACTTGACAAATTTCACTGCATCACACACTTATGCAGCAAAATATTATGAAGTAGTGTTATGAAAAATAAATTAAGTTTGTTATTACCAAATAAAAAATAAAATATGCGAAGTACAAAATTTACTAAAAAAATCCTCATATTTTTTTCATTTTCAATAAGAATTTAAATTCCACTAAATCCGAAATAGCCTGAGCTTTTGTTATTAGTGATCACTGATAAATTTGCAGAAATAAAAATATCACAGGTAGTCGAATTGGTATTAACTGAATCGGGCTTGTCTATAATATTGAAAAAATATAAATTCTATTTCATAAAATAAATTAATAAAATTCGGAAACATTTAGTAAATCTCTTTTAAGACTAGAAGAATTTAATTGCTACTGAATTGACTTTTATGATATTTGCCCAACATGAGCCTCGAGATCTTATAATCTTAAAATCTTTTAAAGCTTTGGTTATCTTATAATCTGTTAAAGCTGTGTTTAGGATTATTTTTACTTGACAGCATTAAAATTTAAATATCTTGCTTTAAAGGCCTAACGTCGATTCATTCAAATTTTTACGAAAATTTTTTTTTGTTTATTGGAAGTAATACCTATGATTGGGTGAACATATTTTGTGTCATGATATTTCATTTTCTTCTTTAATAGTTTTAATACTTAATCACTGTCAGAATTTTTAAAAGTGTTTATTTCAACTTAATGAAAATGTTATTTAAAATAAATGTGAATGAGACTTAAAGTACATATTAAGGAGAATGAAAAAAAAAACGACGATCAAAACGCAAATTCATATCAAAACCTTGAAGCAAGATTGAAACTTGGATTGTAAAATGAAGAAGGATATTTTAATGAACTGCCTTTTTGACAAGATTTGTTTTTCTTTTCTAAACTCTTAATTAAAATTCAAAATGGAAATCGACTTTTATAGAGATTTTAAAATAGGATTGTTAATTTAAAAGTAATAAATTCGTTTTAAATTTTAGATTTATTGATTTTATTGAAGGAAACAGCTTTCTCAGTTTCTTTAATTTATTTAAATTTTAAAATAAATTATGATATGAATTATTTCAATTTGTATGTACATTTGTAAGTAATAAATGTGATGACGATAGTGGAACGTATTGAAATTAATATTGATTCGCATTATTTGAGTTTTTGTTCGTTCCTTTAAAATAAATTTAGGATCAATAGAATAATAATTTTAGGATCATAATTAATAACGTAACCTTAATACCTTTAAAAAGGTTCTGTAGGGTGCTTTACATTTTTAAGTTTGAACCAAACACTTCAGCATCGAAATTTCATTAACACGTTTGAAAAAGTTTCGCTATATTTTGATAATTTATCAAATTTTAAGCAGTTGTAAGTCGAACTCGTAAAATTATTAACAAAATAATAATGAAAATTGAATTTAAATTTGTTTTGTTTTTAGATAAGTGCATCATTTGCATGTAGAAAAGAAAATAAAAGCTGAAGTCTATAAATAGGATTTTTATTAAATTACTATTAATAATTCAAATATTATGCAGAATATTAGAATTATTTATTTTAATGTGTTAGTATATGATTCAGTTCGGGAGTAGAACTCCCTGTTAATTAGTCGAGTATATTAAATACATAAATATGTGTTATAATATAATACATATTTATGTATTATATACATAAATATGTTAATAGATATCCCAAAAAATCTTATGTTATTTTCTAAAATTTTTTATAGCAATTTAAAATTTATCGTGAATGGCCTCAAAATGAATATTTTATAATCCGAATTTTTAACAAAATCTACTCATTATATTTATTATAAGACAAGTAGGAAATCGGTTTTAAAATAAATAATTTTTAATTTCGCAAACGATTTGGGGTTTATATTGAAAGAGGGGCAAGTGTAAGTTTAAACAAGTAGTTTATAAATGTATTGCAATATTTTAATCTTTAAATGTTCAACTTGAATTTAAAAGAGCAACATTTTTTGTAGTTTAACCAACAAAACTTCAAAGCAAACGATTTTTTTTATCATTTCTACGTACCATTTTTCAGAATTTTTAAATTTTATTTATTTATTTTTTTCGTCTTTGAAGAATACTTTGAGAAACTTTTGAAGTATTGTAATATTACCTTAAGATTTCAATCTGCATTTATAACTATTATTGTGACTATGATTTCTCTCTTAAAACTGTGTTATAAAAAAAATCACTTAAATATATTAAAAAAGAGTTAAAGTAAAGGGAATAATAAAGCAACAATAAACCAAAC